TGGTTGGCGAATATCATATTTTACCTAGACTGTTTTCAGTCTGAAACCTACCGCCGTGGATTTTAGACCTTTTGTGAATGATTCGTTGGTTTTCTAGGGGAGGGAGTACACAGCATTCTTACAGGTAGTGCGTGAAGGGTTGCGCCATAGTTGTGACAAAACTGCCGACGAATTCTTCAGACATTCCGCCTGATCGTCAGGACCAGGTTCCTCACACTTCCTTACCGACGATACTGTGTGCAAAATTTTTGCGGTAGGCCCTGGGGAAACGACGTACCCACTCCATTGTTTTTGGTGAAACACGGAAACCGGAAACCGGAAACCTGTGGCTGCGGGAGAGATTAGATTGGAAGTCTTTCTCCATTGCGTTCGCATTAAATCGGCGTTTGGACCCTTTTTCGTGGTGATGTCAAAACGAATACAGCGGACCTTTACTAGGATTTTATTTTATAGAGTTTTTCCTTCCAGAAATTACCCACAGTCGTTACCAGGGTATCAAGAACGTCTGAAGAAACTGAACTTGAGGTCTCTTTACTATAGACGGATTCAATCAGATCTAATTTTAGCATTCAAGCTTCTGAAAGGTGAACTTCGCATCAAGCCATCGACTTACTGGACGTTTCTGCCCGCATCAGGCCGAAGAGGATCCTTTCGTATTCTTAACCACAAGATGGGCAAGTGGCGTCGTGAACTATGGTTGAACAGCTTCACTGTAAGAACTGCGAAATGGCTGGAAGCTATGCCTTTTCGGCTCCTGGAACTTACTGACTCCAACCAATTTAAAAGAGCCATTAAAAAGATGAATGTTCTCGAGTCACTTGGCATTCCTGATGTTGTTTGATGTTAAGCTAGCGCTCATCCTCATTTTCATTTACTTGTCTATTGCATCACTCGAATAATTGCTCTCCAAATCAGTTCTCCTGTTATGCTCTCGCATACTGCCGAATCTTCCTCACATTGATCCTGTCTGGACTCATACCCACCACATTTATTCAAGATATCTACAGGTTACTTGATGTTCTGATGGAAGTTTTCTCCTTATCGAGTACCAACGGTTTGGTGGCTGGATGGACACTCCGGGCGCATGCATGTAGGTCAGACTTTATACTCTCCTAGCTTACCGTTTCCACGAGGGAGGTCGGTATACCCGTGTTTCGAAGTTGCGGTAAGCTCCTATGACCCCTGCTGTGGCGAGTGGGCACCATAGCCGACTGGTGCAGGTGGGTATCTTGTACTGGCTTACGCGCATGCGCGCTGGAGCGGACACGGCGTCACTGGGCCGTATTGGTCACGGGATGAGCAGTTACACCACCGTCTAAGCAGCAAGAACCTTTCCTCCACGCGTTTGGACACTACCCTAGCTCAATCTCTATATTTTTTGGCATGCCATCAAGTTTCTAAGAATTAGGTTTTTTGTTAGAATCCGTTTCGTTAGTAGTTTTGATTTTTGATCTGCTTAAGTTCACTGTTACTATACAACTATGCTCTGTTTGATCCTCGGCTAGTTCCGATGTATTACAGAAGCGCGCGGTCGGTCGACGCACACTATAAATAAATAATAAATAAATGATTGCGTCGGATTAATCGAGTGTGCCCTCAGGAGCCTTAGCAGATGCAAATTATTCTTGAACTGGATGAGACTCAGCGGACGAATGGGCAGATGTTCTCTGCTACGCCTTACCTGCTGCGTATCACGCGTGCTGCTGTGCGATGCGAGTGGGTGCTTGAATTTACCGGTTTCTACAATAGACGTGCAAGTGATAATTCTGCAGCGGCATGTGGTTCATGTTGAGCATCAGTCGTTGCGAGAGTGTTCAGGAGAACCGCGCCTTATGGTGACGCTTTCCAAAGCTCCTCACGTGTTACAACTTTTTTGAAATGTTAAATTTTAATAATGCAGCATATTCTATTCAACTGAATGACTGGTGCATCCAAAATCTCGGATAACTCAAACGCATAGTTTTATTTATTATTTATTCTATTTATTTATTATTGATTAAATTATTGTTTATTTATTTTATTTATATCTCATTACACAGGAGCTTATCACCAATAAACAGCATCAAAAGTAATAAAAAAGCATTCGGATCAAATCAACCTCTCTTTGAGGTACGCCACGCGTTGGCCCTCCACTTGAGTCCCCGGGGCGTCTTTCTTTTCTGTCGTCCACTGGGAAGTGTTCAGAATTTTCTTTTAGGTAGGCCTTTGCGCATATATGTGAGGGAGAAGCTCCCCCGATACGCCTGGAAACCCGAAGAACAGATTTTCTAATGCATCTCTCTGAAATGAGTGAGATCCTGTAGGATATCAAGTGTAAGAAATAAATGAGAGCAAAAATTTACCGAAAGCATATAACTGATTGATTGAGATGACGCAGTCTTCAAAATCGCCATAGATATCTTTCAGTTTTGTTGTAACTTGTTGATTTAACAATGGAGTGAGCAGTTTCGGTTCACTCACCGGACTCGATGACAAATTGAAGCTTCGCTTAGCCATTCAGTTAGGACATTTTTTATACATTCCACTTTTGCCGTTTATCGATTGATTAGGAGATCAAATCCTGGGTCGTGAGTCGCCCGGGCCAACCAAGCCTTCCATCCCTCCGGTTAATTGGTACCAGACTTGTCTGGGAGGATAAAAACACTGACTTGTACATCGGCTGGCCCCCGCAAGTCATTGTATAGGCCACATCGCATTCAAACGCCACTACGAATGTACAAATGGAAGTAGAATGCGTGCCGCATCCCAAAAAGGGATTGATCAACGGCAAATGCTTTATACTTTACGCTTCTAATTGATTGCCCGTGAAGCATGTGTAGAGCATAGTAATATAACAGCACAAAGCATAGAAGTATTATAAACCAGAAAAAAGGTTTTACTGCCTAAAAATAGCCTTAGGAAGGTAAGTGATAGTTGGCACGAAAGGTTGGCCAGAATAAAACTTCCACCTTAACAATCTTGAGGCAGAAGTACAACTCACGATTACAATAGCAAGTGATAGACTCAATTCAATTCAAGCAATAGGCTCAATGAGGAAAATATTCGCATCGAAAAAGCGGTAGATAATTCTCAACAGGGGAATCCCCTCTTCAATCAGTGCCTCTTTGTAACTGTATCAGCCCTTATTATTGATCTGTCACTATTATACCTATTACTCAAATCACTATAATCACCATGAAATGTGGATATGGAATACCGTGAGAACACAAGATTAAGAGGAAATGTTGCAAAAAGTTGTGAATTTTTCAGAGGTAAGCGGGAAACGAGCGAATGAGCATGACACATGGTGAGAAGAGTTCTAACACATGGCGTAAAACTGAAGAACAAACAGCTGTTAGATGTTAGACCTGTGGGAGTTCCTGCATCCTCAGGTCTTCGAATCTCGCATCTCGTTTCTCAGTTTTCAGGGATAGCGGGTCTATTTTGAGTTTAACATAATAATGGCAATCGATTTCTCCACATATACTATCAGAAATAATAATAAAATAAATAACAATAAAAATATAAAATATAATACATAGTAAATACATTTCGGATGTACATAGAATTTATTGAACTGCAACATTTCGGCATCTTGGAACGATTAATGAGTAATCCCCCCTTGTTTGATCACGGTTGCCACTTATCACATAGAGATTTTGAAATTTCGTGAATTTCTCCAGCAATTTCGGAAATTTCAAAATCTTCCGAAAGTTCGGGGGAATTTTCAAAAATAGGTCAAGTACTTTGAACTAAAGATTTTCCGCTTCACTCAATATAATTACCCGCTGCTCTGGCCACCTCCGTTTCACCCAAGATGTGCCACCATATTTGTGAGAAAAAGTTCCATACGTCTTATGGATGAGAGTTCTCGTGACGCTAGATTGCGGTCATTGTGACCCGGCTGGTGAGGGCTGTGTGATCAGGGCGGAGAGAGTCCAGTGAAGTGTCCCTTAGGGCCGATGGTGGTGGTGGTGGGAGGGGCGAGGGAGATTGTATCGAGACTCCCCTGAAAGCTGGAGTAGCAAAATCATTGAAAAAAGTCCAACACCAGGGTGACCCCTCTCCCAAGGCCGGCTTTTTTCGTATTCCTTGGTCGTTCTCCTTCACAACGAGCTTTGCTGACCTAGATGAGCAGGCATATTGTGAGGTGTGGCGGATTTCGAGCTGTTTTTTCCTGATTCTTTGTTAGAAAATTCAAACTTTTCCAAAAAGTTTTGCACTCTTTAAGGCGGGTGATTTTTTCGTGATTTATGTACAGCTTGGCGAGGTTAAGTAACCAGTGTTTTCTTGCCGATGCAGGGCATGGCTCGAAAGATTGCTTTTGTATACGAAGCTCTGCCCTGGCCGTCAAAACTGGATTAAGCTACTCGAGGTGTTGAAGAACATTCACGTGCGAGGCGATGATTTTAGTGAGTCGTCGGCAAAAGAAAAAATTTGAGTAAAAGACAAAATGGCATGCCGAAGGGTAGCCACCTCCATATTCCTAGATGTTCTCTTCAAAGAATGCATGAGGACCTTTAGAGATTACAAGGAGCCAAATGGGGTGAAACTAAATCTGTGTGACATTATTGTTGCAACAACCTAATAAGTGCGACCCTAAGAAAACTAAAAAACGGATCATAAAGCATACGAAGTGCTCCACTGAACACAGACCATCCAAACAGCTGAAAAAAGGGAGCTACTGACTAACAGCCGACGGGTGTCGAGAGAAAATGCCTGTCTGCTCCATCGCTGCCCTTCGAGTGCTAGATCCAATGGACGATGTCTCGGAGAGCAGATGTTTCATGGTTGGTGAATGAACCACATCAATCCCCTCTGCATTCACCTTAGCAGAGGCCATTCTCTGACAAATGGCATTTTGCAGAGAAAAAGTCGCGCTCATTCCTCAACGATCGTCTCTGTCGAAATGGAGCCTACTTACACTCAAGAGATGATACTGCAGATAATCAATCTTTATCAGCTGGAGATCAAAACATGAACTGCATTCGAAAAAACTTTACTGAAGTCGTTTTTCAATGTTATTTTCTGCTTTGAGCAGCAGCTTCTTTCCTTGACGCATCTTGAAGCAGCTGCGTGTCAACTCGATCAGCTGGCAATTGCACATATCTGAATGGAGAGACATGAAACAACACAACACAACTCTTTGATATACGGCATTCTGAAGTAAAAGACACGCTTTATGACGTCGTTTCCTACTACAGGTAAAATGTTTGCACCATAAAGCAATGCACATTCACATATAAATTAAAATCTATAAGTCTATCTGAATATAAAAAATTCTTATCTAAATCTAAAATCTATCTATAAATTAATTTTATAAATTAGGCGTCCGCAAAAGGATACCTTACGGCTATTTAGCTTTACTACTACCGATAGCTTTTACCCACTTATTTCTGAGTTCCGGGATAACTCGGAATCTTTAGGAGTCAGCTCTGCCCACCTCGGTACAAACAAGCACGCGCAGTAAAGCTCAACACATTGACAGCGCGGGATACTTATGTCCTCCACTGCCACTCGGAGTCGATTCTAACTAGATTATGCATCCATTTTCAAACTTTCCAGAGGTGTTCATGTGCTTTATCGGCTACAGAAAATAGCGTACTTGTTAATATTAATGAAGTTATTGATGAAGTAATCACTATTGATGGAATTTTCTAAAAATAGATAGGAGTACGCGCGCCGAACGGCGGTCATCATGTGTTAATCTTCCTCTCGTTTGCTCGTCTGTGCTTTTTCTAGCATTGCAACTGCCTCTGGACAAAATTATGAGGTACTGTAGTACGTATTGCCCATATGAAGGCACAATTTCCATGACAGGAGTGCCTCAATTCAAATTACCCAATTTTTTCTGCATTCGCTCGCCTTTTAACAGAGCATGAAGTTTTCCGAGCGATGCCTATTCAGACCGCCTGGATGCTAAAGCTTCTCTTTGACCTCACCCAGCGACCCATAATCACCCTTACCCATTTTCTGGTCCCTCGATCTTGTTGGAACCAAGTTAGATCTATAACATGTGATAAAAGGGACCAGGGCGCGTCGCGTGGCCCGTGCATCGCCGCAATCAGGAATTTGGTGAATCATTAACACGTTGACGACATCGCGCGTTTTGGCTTTTTTGGCCGCGTGGGACCGGCGCGATTTTGCAGGCGCCGCCGCCATCACCTCATAACCGTGAATTTTGAGCTGCAAATACGCAAAACTTGATGCGACAGAATGTTTCCACTTAATGTTCAATGTGTTCAAC